TAATCATAGCTTCATATGTTGTTAAATCTGTCTATAACTGTTAAGATTTTGATATCATTACTTTTCAAAACAACTTGCCTCAACACGCCTGCACAGATGGAGCTAAAATCAGCAGGACACCGGGACTCCAGGATCAAGTTTGGACATTCCTGCTGTACATAGTAAGTTTAGACAAGATACTTTTAAACTTGTATTTTATTGGTAAATGTATTGCTTTTAATTTTACATTAAGAAGATAAAGGTTCCTTTAAATATTAATATATATAAATATTTAAACATTTAATATAATTTATTTAAATAGAATACTTTTTAACATGCAGATTATTTTTCAAAGATGCTAGGGCCCAGGAATTGCCTAGGGCCCCCAAATCACTAAGCCCGCCCCTGAATATGACCTAAGGTGACAGCAGAATAGCAGTTGTCAGCTTGACAAAGCAGGGCCCATGGAGGCAAATGAAGAAAATAGGCCTGAGCACACTCTCAGAAATAAAGGTACGTAAGCTGTCACTGGAGTGGTACCTTTTCAAAAGGTACAAATTTGTACCTAAAAGGTGCTTATTAATACCTCAAGGGTACATATTAGTTGCTAAAATGTACAAAAGTGTTCCTCTTAAAATTGTTAGGTACTAATATATACTTAATGCTCAAATGTGTTCCTTTTGAAAAGGTACCACCCAGTGACAGCTCGTGTACCTTTATTTTAGAGAGTGCACAATTTTACTTTGTGGTTTTGTGAAAATGTTTATAAAAGATATATATGCTCTCAGTGTCAGCACTGAATAATAAATGTTCAGTTAATTATTTAATGATGTGCAGCAATATGCCAATCTTTTTGCATTTATTTAATTAAATATCAATATTCAAAGACTAACAACAATGATGGGCACATAACATTTTCTGCTTAACATCATATTACTGGTCATATCATCACTTCAGCCATAACATTTTAAATGTCTACAAAAGATTTGGCAATTTGACAATTTCAAAATTGATTTGCGAGCAAAAATGAAATGGTGTGACTGTGAGAATTTGGTAAAAGAAAAGAAATTATATTTTAAAGGCATAGTTCATAGAATTGGGGGTTTTCAATTATAAGCTGGCATTACTATGAACAGTGCTTGCATTAAGTAGCCACAGTATTTTTATAATTAATACATTTAGCATATTTCACATTTTCAATACATTAATATAATACAATATGAGAAAAAAACGCAACAATGAAACAATGAAAAATATACTATATGAGCTCAAGACTGTATTACACTGAGTAAATAAAAAATACATGAACATTTTATTATAATGCAATAATTATTACACTCTGTTCTCTTTTTACACCACATGCACTTATTACATTGAGTTGCGACAACAAATAATTCAAAAATGTAAAATGTAAATGTAAAAATGTAAAAAAAGTTTGTAAAGTAAAAAAAGCCATCTATAAACTGGTAGAAGCACTTACTTTCTGCAAAACATGTTCGACAAAATTAGATTTTCAAGAGTTGAAACTCAAGCAAAATACAGTTGAATCAGAATTATTAGCCCCCCTTTGAATTTTTTTCTTTTTTAAATATTTCCCAAATGTTGTTTAACAGAGCAAGAACATTTTCTTAGTATGCCTGATAATATTTTTTCTTCTGGAGAAAGTCTTATATGTTCTATTTAAGGTAGAATAAAAGCAGTTTTTAAACACCATTTTTAGCTTAAAATTATTAGCCCCTTTAAGGTATATATTTTTCGATAGTCTACAGAACAAACCACTGTTATACAATAACTTGCCTAATTACCCTAACCTGCCTAGTTAACCTAATTAACATAGTTAAGCCTTTAAATGTCACTTTAAGCTGCATAGAAGTGTCAAGAAAAATTTCTAGTCAAATATTATTTACTATCATCATGGCAAAGATAAAATAAATCAGTTATTAGAAATGAGTTCTTAAAATTATTATGTTTAGAAATGTGTTGAAAACAATCTGCTCTCCGTTAAACAGAAAACGGGGAAAAAAATAAACAGGGGGCTAATAACTCTGGGGGGCTGATAATTCTGACTTCAACTGTAAATGACAATCTATCTTATTCTGATTCGAAAAATAGGTCATGTTCTGTGTCAATGTTCACTTCATTTTCAAATGTTGTTTGCTAGTTTCAGTTTTACTCAAGTGTCGTTTTGATGTTTTGCAGCACACTGTTTAAATAGCAAATGCATTTGAGCTCATATGTGCACCCGTAGGCGTTCTGCTCTAAAAAAAAAGGAGGTGTGTTAAGGCGCATTGCTAGCGGGTTGCTATTTTGAGGAGCTAAAATAGACATTTCAATAGACCAACTGAGAGGAGGTCTAAAGTCCAGCACGGAGCGTTAGTGATGGGTTCCCAGTGATGGGTTGCAGCTGGAAGGGCATCCGCTGTGTAAAACATATGCTGGATAAAGCCTGGTTTATACTTCTGTGTCAAGTAACCATCGTTACCCACGGCGCATGCAACGCCCATAGTTGTTGTGTATTTATACTTCTGCGCGCTGTCTCTGTTGGTCTGCATTAACACTTCCGAAATGCTAGTCGGCAGTGAGGTGTTAATGTTCCTCTGTGTCAAGTTTCTACTGAAACACTTCCTGAATGTACAAGAGGCTCAAACTCCCTCATTTTGAGGCAGGAACCAGAGAACGTGCAACAACTTTAACTAAACACAAAACAAAACTTTCCATCCGGAGCTCCTTCACGGGACTCCACACAATCGCTCCACTGGGCTCGCGGCTCTCGGTCCCGCCCTGACTAGTCATCGCTACCAAGCTGACCAATCACAGAGCTTGCGCTATGCGTCGTTGCGACGTGTAGTTACAATTTTATGAGAGGTGCACGTCAGCGACGGCCACGACGTAGGGCTATCGGTCAACGCGTAGGCTGCGCCGAGCTCTGTGATTGGTCGGTTACGCCGGTCACTTGACGCAGAAGTGTAAACCAGGCTTTAAGTTGGTGGTTCATTCCGCTGTGGCGACCCCAGATAAATAAAGCCAAAAAGAAAATGAACAAATTAATAAATGTTTAATAATAATATTAATACAGATTAAAATGAATCTGTATTTAACAAAATGTATTATCTGTATTAACAAATATTTATTTATATTTGTTTAACTTGATTTAGTTTGTTTTATATTCAGAATTTTTGTACTGCACATGGATTCAATGTTTTTATGGCTTTACACACTATTTACACATAAATAGACAAATAATTGAGCATGAATTCAATTTTCTTATTTGTGTTTAAACAATTAAACAAAAACAAACAACATCCAATTAAAGTTTCATGTTTTCTCTTTGTACAAAGTTTTTACAGAAAATATACACACAAGTAAAAACCAAACATGTATTTAAATTTCACATTAATGCCTATTTTGATCGATTTTATGTAGGTTTAAATAATAAATTGTATATATTTATTAAATGTTATATATGTTTATTACATCAGCTTAAGTTGTGTGCAGAGATTTTTCTATTCATCATAATGTGTTTGTCTTGAATAATTGAGTCGTTTTGTTGATAGATGAGTGTTAAAAACGCCACATTAAGAGTTGTTGATGATATGGCAGAAATTTTACATAATGTATATGAATAAACTATATCTGAAACTCGTATTTTTGCCGAATTAAAAGCTAGGTTCCCCTGCACCCCCATAAACGACGAAACATGTTTTGTCAGCATTGACGGCTGCAGTTAAACTACAAAATAAAAGATGAGCTTGCAGCGCCATATTGTGGAAAATAAAAGGAGATTAAAAAATGGTCAAACAGAGTGAAAGACTTTTGTTGGGTGTCTTTTGTGGGTTTAATTACATTGTAATAGTTGTAATGCAATTAATATAGTAATACTATTACCGTTGGGGTTAAACTGCAGCAAGTATGAATTAAACAAATGAACATGTCACCTACAAAGTATTTTCTGTATTGCTCCAAAGAAGCGACTCTAACAAGTGGTTTAGCAAAAGTGTTTTTATTTAGTTAAAAATAAGTTATAAAGTCACAGACACCAGGGGTCTGTTCTTCGTACCTCGCTTAAATGATCTAAGATGATTTGGCAGATCCCGGATCTTTTGATCTTGATTACTGATCTCTCGCTAATTTGGTTCTTCAAACAAGTTCGCGAATGTCTGGATGAACTGATCTGAGATCGCTGCGTGTGTTGTAAAGGACAGATGTATCGATCCCTGAAATCATGATCAGCAATGCAACGATTGGCTGACGGCACAGCAGCGTAATGACATCATCTTATTAATATTCAATTATCCATGCGAGCAAAATTACATCAAATTCATAGGAAACGGCTTGTTAAATATGATACACATTAACATTTGTATTTGGCTGCAGGCTTACCCTTTCTGGTGTCAAGACTCAGAGTATTTAGCCATTTATTTAGTTTTACAGTTAGAGCAGATTTTCTTTTCTATAGTAGCCATAGTAGTATTTATAGTAGCCGGTTTCTTAATCGGTGTAAAGAATAACTGAATGTTTACAAAAGCATTTTGTTATTGGTAAAGGCGTTTGCCACTTTTGTGAAGCATCAAATCACCGTCAAAAACATGTTCATGACTGCATAAATGTATTATTGCTTTTTTAAAAATCACATATTGTGCATTTCTATTATCATACACAAATAGTTCTAAAGCGATCTAAAAAGTTCCTATCAATAAATGTTCTCTTTGAACCACCAGGTGGCAGTCTTTGTACTTTCATTTCGGAGCATATATTGCATAAGTTTTATTAATATATATTTAAATATATAAATAAATAAATAAATATATATATATATATATATATATATATATATATATATATATATATATATATATATATATATATATATATATATATATATATATATATATATATATATATATATATATATATATATATATATATATATATATATATATATATATATATATATATATATATATATTTATTTATTTATTTTTTTTTTTTTACATATATATATTTATTTACAATTTTCCTACGTGTATCTAACTACTACTGTAAAAAATATCAGAATTTGGTACATACTTTCAGTATTACCTTTGCTTGAACTGACCCGATCTAATCTTGTTTACATAAAATGAGCCTGCTCCCTAGCAAGTTCGCGACAGTAATGAGATCCAATTGACAGCCGACCCCTTTCACTCCAAAATGGCGAAATCCAGGGCTGTTGCTGGGCGCTGCAGTTGCAATTGAACGTTCTATTGAGTGTTGCCTCTTGGTCATTCTAAGCTCTTTGTTTGAGCTACCAGTATTGTTGCCATGACAACCAGTCTCGGTTTAGTTTTGAAAAATGAAACAATCCTGGATCATGCCAAATCGTCAATAACCAAATCCAGCTAACTGAGTAATCCACGTACAAAGAACAGACCCCAGCAGAGTGAACACATGATCACAAATGATAGATTTAACAAACAAATCTGCTATAAAGAGTCATATATTTCAGTTTCCACCACTGTTATAAATTTTTATACTTATTAACTTAATTATAACAGTTTTAAGACATTCATACTAAAGTACAGCAATGCTAATAACATATACTCTCTCTTTCTCTCTCTCTTTTAAAGTATTCACAGATGTTTACACATTCATCAATTTCAAGGCATTACCTGAGGAAGAGAATACAGTCATAATCAGCCTTCAGCAAGGCTGCCTGTCCTCAGTAGGTATGACAGTGTTTAATACAGCAGTAATTCTGGCTTAATGCTTTCACAAAATATGTTTAACAGACACAGGAACAGAACCAGATGAAGACATCAGCGCTCAACATTAATGTTGATTTTGATTTTCTAAAAAAAAGATTAGAGTTTCATTATTCATAATATTCACAAACTGTTCCTGTTTTACTGGATGAATTCAGTATCCAATTCACAGTATTCTGTGAATCCAATTGTCACAGTCAGCATCAACTCACCACAATCTGAAGTATTTCTGCTATCTGAGACTCGGGCTTGACTGGGTCAGATGACACTGGTTACACACACACACACACACACACACACACAGACACACACACACACAAACACACACACACAGACACACACACAGACACACACACAGACACACACACACACACACACACACACACACACACACACACACACACACACACACACACACACACACACATTTACTGTTGTGGTAAAGCTGTTATTCAACACAGATAATATCATTAATTAACTGCAGTAGTGAAAGTTACTGTAATAAAACACTTACTATAGGGTTTTAAATACCCCATGCTGTTGACTCTTCTGTGTTTCCTCGTCTCTCTTGGTTCAGTGGTATGTGGTTTTTCTGTTTTGTTCTCCATCTCTCCTCTGCTAGATATTTCCAGTGACTGTAAACATGGATCATTTAAAAGTAATTTGGTTTTGGTCTAATGTTGAATGAAATGAAATAAAAAAGAAAAAGAAAAAAATGCAATCATGGTGTCCTGTTTTCTACACTAGGGATTTAATTAAATCCCAAATAAAATATGAATATACATAATTAAAAAATATTTGCCTAAATAAACAATAAATAAACTGCTTAGAGTCAAACTGCTCAGAACATTAATCTTAGCTTAAGATCAATCTTCCAAACATCATTTAGATTAACGGAATAAGAATATTAACAGAGCCAGTGTTTTCAGTGCAAATAAATTTTCTGATTTAAAAAAAAAATATTTTTTATTAAATATTTTGGGGTCGGGTGCAAAAGAAATTTGTGCCATGTTTAGAATTCAGAATCTGGTGTGCGGCGCCCTTAATGAAAACATTCAATCACTTTAGTAACCGTGCATGCTCATTTAAGAGAAAATTCTTAGTGTTTAAAATAAAAAGTAGGACGGACATGTTTACATATTGTTACGAGTATTTGTCCCTTCAATGCACCCACATCACTAAAGTGTCCACTTTCGCTCCTCTTTAAATGGCGTTAAGAGAAGCTGATCTGAGAACCGTTTATCATACGGAGCACACCCGTCAGTCAGCATGGATATTCTAATTCACTAACTCAGAGGTTGCGACGATCGACGCACAGCTTTAATGTAAATAAAGTCAATACAAACGTTTTTAATATTCATTTTAACCTGTTTTCAAGTCAAAATAAAGCGAAAACACAATTCTCTTGAACTATGGCAAGCCGTTTTAACATTTAACATTTAATGTATAACCCGTACTAGCATCTAGTTTCATGTTACTTGTGCTTATTTTTTAGATACTAGTATCTTTTCAATTAAATACTAGTGCTTATTTATTAGCTACTAGTGCTTTTAAAATAGTGCTAACTCATTAGTAGCACCAGACAGAATCTGCTGACATTTTGTGATATTTCTGCGCAGAATTTTGTTAAAAATCTGCAGATTTATGCCGAATGATTTTGGGAGAATCATAACTAAAAACTTAGTATACGAATGAATAAAAAACAATAACTTTTAACTTTCTATTTGATGTTTACAATGCAAATTCAATTAAATCCACTTTATTTGGTAAACAAAGCAAGTCTTTCATATAATATATCTACTAAAAGGCAGAAAATATTACTTTTTACAAACTTTATTGTAAATAAATCATAAATGAATAATTTCATATTAGTCAATAATACTACTGAAAGTATTTTAAAAACTGAATAAATATAGATTTACACACATTTACTCAAGTAAATAAACAGAATTAATGATGGGCTAAAAATCTGTGGAAATCTGCGCGCAGATTCTAGCAGACGCTAAATTGTCCGTAGTGTATGTGTGTGAATGAGAGTGTATGGGTGTTTCCCAGTGATGGGTTGCAGCTAGAAGGGCGTCCGCTGCGTAGAACATATGCTGGATAAGTTGGCGATTAATAAAGGGACTAAGCTGAAAAGAAAATGAATGAATTAATGAATAGTATCTTATACACAAGTACTAGTATCTATTGAATAGGACGAGGAAGTGGCGCAGTAGGTAGTGCTGTCGCCTCACAGCAAGAAGGTCGCTGGGTTGCTGGTTCGAACCTCGGCTCAGTTGGCATTTCTGTGTGGAGTTTGAATGTTCTCCCTGCCTTCGCATGGGTTTCCTCCAGGTGCTCCAGTTTCCCACACAGTCCAAAGACATGCGGTACAGGTAAATTGGGTAGGCTAAATTGTCCGTAGTGTGTGTGTGTGTGGATGTTTTCCAGAGATGGGTTGCGGCTGGAAGGGCATCCGCTACGTAAAAACTTGCTGGATAAGTTGGCGGTTCATTCCGCTGTGGCGGATTAAAGGTGCAGTAGGTGAACTGCCAAAAAGCTAACCGCTTAGCATATTATCTTTGGACGGCGGGGAGGGACTGTGATTCAAAGCCACACCCCCTGAAATCGCGAGCACGCGCAACAGCCGACAGACAACCCACTAGTTCACGTCATTCGCCAGTTAGTGCCAGCACCGTGCAGAAATTACATTTATTATACTTAGCCACACTTACAAGCTATTTCAGAGCGAATATTCAGAGTAGCATGGTAAACAGTATAGCAGGCTATCATTGTTCAACAATGACCCAATGTGAATATAAAAGCAACTTCAGCTCAATAAAGCAGGCTAGGCAGAATAGCGCTATTTACTGGTGTTTTGTTGTTAAACTAAATATAAATCTACATTATAGATGCTGTCAAAGAACCTTATGAAACTGAAAATAATCACATCAATCTTTCACTGGGAGATTTCAGTGGCTGAACAACACTTCTGTGCATGTAAGTCATTCATAACAAAACACAATCCCCCGGTTTCACAAACAAGGTTTAAGGCTAGTCAAGATTAAATTGCATGTTTGAGCTGTATGAACTCAAAATAACTTGCGGTGAGATGTCTTAAAATATGTCAGTGTCATATTTTATCACCAGGTGCACACTAGTAGTACATTTTTTGAGGCCATTTTTATAAATGTGGCTTAAATAGCCTAATTTAACTAAGGCCTAGTCCTGGCTTAATCACGCGAATCCGCGTCTGTTCTGATGTGAATTTGACACGCGAATGAAGCGAGTAACCTCGAATGTTCAAGTGGCTATTTAAGCGGATTCGCGTGATGGGCACGGCTTCTGTCTGCCACGTGACTCTAGCTTCATAGCTAAATGGCTAACATGGATTTTATGAAGAAAATAACAGTGTTTATGTGCTTTATGAAGGATGATAAACAGCGTCGATAGGTTTAGAGCCGTGTCTGAGTCCACTAAATCCTTTCAGAGGTGCATCCAGCTTTTTAAGGTCATAGACTCCTCCAGAAACTGAACCTGGCTGATGGAGGTTTTCAGCGGTGCTTCTGACTGAGCCCACCCCAGTTTGATGAACTTCTTGTCGGTGTCTGCTGGGGGATTTCCCCTAGGACACCGACAACAGGCGATACGTTACAATCACGCCCCCACAAGAGCAAGCTCCTGATTGGTTAACGCGGCGCGATGTCCGCTGAAGTTCAGATTTTCAAACGCGAGTGATTCGCGCGAAACGTGCATTAAGCGAGTCAAACGCGCAAAATGCTCAATTCGCGCCACGCCATTCACGCCATGCGCACCGCGCAATTCTCGTCATTTGCACCACGCCATTCGCACATATCGCGCCGCAGGATGTCTATTCGCACGTTTGCATTGACTTAACATGTAAATCACTCGCGCTTAACGCGCGTGCCGCGTCTGGTGTGAACGCAGCATTAAGAGCGAATTATACCCGCGACTGGCATTACAGTAATCTGCCCAAGCTCGGCTGTCCTTCGGCGCCTCCGGCTCCGACTCGGCATCTGCGAACGGCCCGCAGCTCGCTCACGCGCATGCGTTTGTGATGCAGACGGGCATGCGCTAATGGCGGATCTGCGTAAACAGATGCGCAGAAGTTGGAATCTACATTTGCTGACAGTCTGATCAGCTTATCGGAATTAAGGGAGATGTCGGTCCGACTCTATTTAATTGGATGAACATTTTTTTGTTTTATGCTTTACCCAGAATATAAAAATACATATAAACACATTCAGATCATTTACTGTAATCATTACTATTGTACTGTGAAGAGACTTTCAACCAGCACAACAAAAAATGTCTCTGAAGACAATCACCTACTGCACCTTTAATAAAGGGACTAATGCCCAATGCATAATGCCTAGTTCAGACTGCGTGATTTTAGCCCCGATTTTGGCTCGCCGACAGGTTTTGAGAAATCGCAGACAAATGCCTGAAATCACAGGCAAATCGCTGCTCGTGCACGTGAGTGACAATCACACAGTATGAACTTTCAAAGACACGATCTGAGAGAATCGCTGATGAGTCGCCGATGCCTGCGAGATATTTAGCGGCTTTCACTTGTGTGTGCGTGCGTGTTTACCTGCTGCAGGCCAGCGTTAGGCTGGGGGAGAAGTTAAAAGCGCTCTTTTTCGGTTTATTTGGACCCACGAAATGGAGGAAAAACTAGTGGAGGTTTGACAGGACTCAGGAGCAACCGTGTCTGTTTGACGATTCATACAGAAAGAAATTAGTTTATTATCAACGTTGAGGAGAAATGGCCAATTCCCTTTAAACCCAGGTGAGCAAACATGTACATGTTCTACCCCATTAAAGGCTTCTTTCTCATTATGGAGTTAATAACAAAAGATATACTACGTGTTTTTGGCTGTGAGATGCAGTTTGGACGAAGTTGTCGGCGATTCTTCCTATAGTAAAGTCATGCAAAGTCCCTGTCGCCGATCCATCTTACAGTGTAAACAAAATAGCGACAAAATGCTAGCCCAGATAGTCAAGCAGTGTGAAAACATCTGTGACACAGGGGTGGACTGGCCATCTGGCAATTCTGGAAAATGCCAGAAGGGCCGGACCAATTTTTAAATGTGGGCCGGTCAGTTATTTTTTTTATTTTTTTATGTGCAGGCAGCTTTTATCTCTTGCTATGTGATATTATGATGATGATAAATAAAAAACATAAATAATAAAAAAAATAAAAATAAAAAAGAAGAAGAATATTAAATGTTAAGCATTTGGCCCAATCGGCGACGGCCGCCTAATTTCAGGATGGGCCGACCCAATCCGAGGTTACCTGGACGTAATCAAAATCTGGCAAGAATGTCATATTATTTCAACATCTTTACACCAAAATAAATAGTGAATGTGCGTGTCTGTGGGTGGGGCTGTGTCGGTGTGGTAATGTGGGCTGATGTGGCTACAGTGCCAGGGCTGAATTTTTGTCCCAGTCCACCCCTGCTGTGACACGACTACTTTACTTTGAAAATTATGCAGTCTGAACTCGGCATAAGCCAACATGAATGATTGAATCTATTGAATAATAAAAAAGTACCAGTGTCTAATGAGTTAGCACTAGTATATTTTTAATAAGCACTAGTATTTAATAAATAAGCATTATTATCTAATGAATAAGCACTAGCACTTAATGGAAAATATACTAGTATTTAAAAAATAAGCACTAGTAACATGAAAATAGATACTAGTACGAGTTAAAGATTAAATGTCAAATTGGCTTGCCGTAGTTCAAAAGAATTGTGCTTTTGCTTTGACTTGAAAGCACTTTGAAATTAATATAAAAACGTTTGTATTGACTTTCTTTACATGAAAGCTGTGCATCGATCGTCTCAGCCTCTGAGTTAGTGAATTAGACTACGGTTTTTTTATTTAACAATTCAAAATTACCTTTAAAAAAAGCCAGGGGATGCCAACAATAAGGAAAAAGAAAAAGACACAAAAAATGTAATTGTTTGCATACTTCAATACTTAACAGCTTTCTGGGTTTTGTCAAAACGGATTGCCATATAACCTAACGTAACCTCATTTGCCCGAGCAAAGGTCTGCGCAAATCAGTTTGTTTAAGACGAAGTTTTGTCAATGTCAAATAGTAAACGTAAGGAGAGCAGGGTTTTCTTTAGCACTCTGGACTCTAAAGTAAAATCCGTCACTCACAAAAGCTTCACTACACACAACACCCCAAACGTTTTTTTTTTTTTAATTAATCCTTAGTTGCCACAAATTAGCCTTGGTTTTACTATATTAATCATAAATTACTCATGCTATTTGTAGTAAAAACGTGGTTATACAAATGGTAACTTACCTGTGTCAAAAAACAGTGGAGTAAATGTGATCGATGGTAAGAGTTACAGGTACTGAACTACATCTAAAGAGAAGAGCACAGTGACAGAAAACGGAAATTTTGCAACAAGCACGCGGTACTCGCCGTAAGCCAATCACTCAGTAGCGGAGGAATTAACCACGCCCGGTCAGCAATCGCGTAAGCCAATCAGTGAGCTCAGGGTCAGACGCTCTTCCCTTAACGCCTGTCACTTCATAGATATGTTGCCGTTCTCACAGTCTATGGACAGACGATGTTTTGACTGTTTTTGAATAAGGACCTGGACTTTTGAATAGTGGTTCAGCATTGCTGGTTTACAAAAAAAAATCAAACAAACATAATCCTGTTGCACAACTACACTTGATTTTGGTTTTACAGTAAAAATGATATTGAAAAAAAAAATGTTAAATGAGAATCTAAAATATTTTATGACATTTCAAACAATAAAAACGATTTAATATATAAGAAAGTTTTATTTTGATTGTTTTTAAATAAATTGGCCCTACACCATATGTTCTTATTTTTCATAGTATATGTATTAATTCTGATACTTTTATCATAAACAGACAAATTTGATAGAAGCTGAAATTTTATAAATTATGGGATGCGTTGGGAAAAAATGCATGGAGTGTGTTAACCAGCGACATTAGGAGTTAAGAAATGCAATCCAAACATTTTTTTAGTGGTGTAGTTAAAGGGTTAATCTCGTTGGATTTTAGGCAGTAGCATGAATGCCTACATTTTAATACTATAAATCAAAATGCAAGTAATCAAAATATTCACTTATGACAGATGTATTTTTTCTTTTTACAAGTTTGTTTCGGCTGAAGGGTTTTCTAAATCTAAAAGAGGTTCAATGTTCTGAGAGTGTGTACTAATTATCCTACAACAGCTAATAGCATCTGCTTTGCATCATAATCATGCAACACAGTAAAACAAAATAAATAGCCTGGACATCTAATTTCTTATGGATTTTCTTTCCAGGGTTCCATAAACATACTGTGTAAGATAGTCAAGTTCAAAAACACCTTAAATGGTGTGACACATCTTATTTTTAATTGAAGAGCTCTTTTTTGACACAAAAACTGGAATTGTGATATGGCTCGATGTGAGAACAGTAGAATAGCAGCTATCAGCTTGACAGCAGAGAGGATGGAGAATCCTCATCACAAGAACACAGCAAATGGAGAAAATGCATGCATTACAGCACAACTTTACTTTGTGGTTTTGTGACAATCTATAAAATATAAAAATTCTCAGCCTCAGCACTGCATGCGATAATTAAATGTTCAGTTAATTTCTTAATAATGTGCAGTATGTCAATATGACAATCTTCTGGCATTCATTCATTTATACTGTATTTTATATAAGCATATTGCATTCATATTATATTGCATTTAGCCACAAGCTAAATCCCAATATTCCAGCACGAACAACAACAATGATGGGAAATGTGGAGGATTTATTGGTGTATTTATACTTATACAAGTAACAAACACCATGACCCTGAACACGTGATCTTACAAATAAAAACATCTTTAAAAATAAGCAGCTAAATTAACAATAAAATCTGTCAAGAGAAGTGAAGGGTTTAAATAAATGTCTCCTAGACAAAAGTAGCGTGTCGCTCTTTACAATACAAAATCATCTTCTCAGGAGACTCACATCCAATAACACAATCTGTGCATCAATACACTAAGTACACTTCTTTTCTCTCCCACAATGCACTGGGGCAGCACAATAATACACTCATTTCTCAAAAGTGTTGAAGCTCCATAATAAAGCATCAAAAGTTTCATCAACAGAACTCATCTGATCCACAATCAGTATTTTTTGTAATTACAATAGTGAGTGCAGATGGTAAACTCCAGGATTTCTATGCATCTGCCTGGATTTCCAAGCCAAGATGTGCTGAAATGTATATTTAGTCATTTAAATAAGTCTCTTTCTCCTCGACCAATTACAGATTAATCAGAAGACCCTGTCGAACTCTGATTGGCTGGTGGTGGCTGGGTTTCTGTTCTGATTGGCCGGCTGCTGAGGCATGTGACCTCTTCTGCGGGGCGGGGCTAGATACTCAAACATGGAGGTGTTGTGTGTGGAGAGCATGTTTTTGAGGTCAGAGGGCATGGGGTCGGACCAGAAGAAGTCGTGGTTGAGAGCGTCATCACTGTCAATTCTCTGCGCCGGATCCAGAACCAGCAGTTTGTCTATGAGGTCCAGAGCGTAAGGGTCTTTCACATACGCCTTCAGCCGGTCCTTCACCTTACGCTTCTGCCCTTTAGGAAGCTCCATCTTCTGATACAGTTCATACTTCTTATCCACACCCGGCCAGACCTGAGACAGTGCAGAATGGAGATGTTAAATACAGGCGGATCAATAAACACAAGTGCTGGGTTTACACAGGTTTCACCAAGACAAATTTAAGACTTTAAGACCATTTTAAGACCACAATGAATGAAATTTCAGACAACACAAGGCTAAATGCTAAATATTATTCAAATAGCCAAGTTAAAACCCTTAACATTACAAACAGGTCATTGTGTCGGTGCTAGTAGTGTAGTAGTTAGTGCATCGACACATGGCACTCTGGTGTTCTGGCAACTCGAGTTCAATTCCCGCCTCGCGGTCCTATGCCGATCTTTCCCCTCTCTCTGCTCCCTACACTTTCCTGTCTATACTCTCTACTGTCCTATCAATTAAAAGGTGAAAACCCTGAAATTAAAAAAAAAAAAAAAAAAAACAGGTAATTGTAAGAAAAATAATTAAACCACATTAATAAGTAAATAGAGTTAATAAATAAACGTCTCTTAAAACCATTAAATATATTGGAAAAATATATTGTTAGTGTTTGGATGGATGGATGTTGGCCCAATTGGGTAAAGCTTTACATGGACAGAGGAAAATTCGGACCAGTTTAAAATTAATTTAAGACCTACAACACAATATTTCAGCGGATTAAGGACTTTTTAAGGCTTAAATTTGTTTTTTAAAATTTAAGACATTAAGACTTATACTTAAGATACCCTGTAGTGCTGGGCAAAGATTGTGATTAATTGCATCCAAAATAAAAAACTTTTAAGATAACATGTATGTACTGTATATACTTTTTGTGTAAATATAAACACATAAATATGCATACATATATTAGAGAAATGTTTATTTATATTTAGATATACACTTCATTAAACTGCGTAATAGAATAAAATATCTATGTAACAAATATTGTCTTTATGTATGTGTGTGCATCTCATATGCATAATAAATATACAGACGTTGGACAATGAAACTGAAACGCTGGTCAATTTAAAGTTGGAGGTTTCATGGCTGAATTTGACCAGTGATTGCACATTCCACCAGTAGGAGCAGAGTGTGAAGGTTTAATTAAAAGAATAAAAGCATTTTTTTCTAAAAATATTGCAACGCACACAACATTATGGGTGACAGAGTTCAAAAGAGGACAAATTGGTGTGTGTCTCGCTGGCGCATCTGTCACTGTCAAGGACAACCGAACCATTCTGGAGGACTATGTGCACCCAATGGTACAATCAGTATATTCTGAAGGGAGTGAAATTTTCGGTGAAATTTTCCCAGTACTGGGTTGCGGCTGGAAGGGCGTTCGCTGCATTAAACACATGCCAGAGTAGTTGGCATGATAAATCAGGGACTAAGCTAAAGGAAAATTAATGAATTTAGGTGAATTATACACAAAAATCCTGAAAATAAAAAGCTGACAAAGCATCTGAAAAGTATGTTTTCGGTTGGCAATTGCGTGAGCTGATCCTCCAACATTACTGGAGTAAAGTGTGTACCTCAGGAGTGATGGATCCGCACAGCTGACTGATGAGTGTGAGCTGGTGCTGCTCTGTGTTGCCCTGCATGATGGGGCTTCTGGTCCACATCTCCGCCATGATGCACCCCGCGCCCCACAGGTCTATGGGAGGCCCGTAGTCTCTCTCGCCTACAAAAATACAGAATAAATAAATAAATCCATACTGTGATGATCCCAAGTCCCCAGACCTCATTAAAGAATGTAGTAGATCCTGATTGGATGACTGCATTACTAATCTATAATTGCTTTAATGTGTATATAAGAGTTGTTGTGCTAGCTAGGGCAGGTCACTGTGTGGTTAATCAGAAGTCGAATCTGGTTGACTCTTAACATTTTGGGTTTGTTTTGCATTATTTATATCATTGTTTTTGTATTAGTTTTGATTATAATAAATAATTTGCACTATTTTGTTGCTTGATCTTTCATGTTGCGACTCCAATGAGCCGGTCGTAACAATATCAACACAAAGCGAAAATGAAAAGTAACAAGTGTTTGATGTGGTTTCACCCACCCAGCAGTAGTTCAGGCGGTCTATACCACAGAGTGACCACCCGATTTGTGTAGCGATTCCCCTGACTGTTTTTAGCCAAACTGAAGGCTCGGGCCAGACCGAAATCAGCCAGCTTCAGGACACCATCTCTGGTGATCAGGACATTGGCTGCTTTCATGTCTCTGTGGAGGATCTGAAACAAAACACATAATACACTTGAGTCTGGAAACACTGAAGTCACTTTGGATAAAAGTGCCTTGTAAAAGCATGTAAAGACCGGGACACACCAAGCTGACGCCAAACTCCAACACCCAACAAAACCTATTATTATCGTGCTGGATCCCATCTAGAGCAAAAGCTGCGCATGACCAGACCAAACTGACAAAAGACGACAGAAACGAGCCACATTCTGCATCTGTGCAAGGACATGTCATTCCCCACCAGCAGGGGGCAGTATCTGTTTTCTCCTTCCACAAAGGGAAACCAAACTTCGAATGAGCATCAATTGTAAACAAAGCAGCGTTCAGCGCCCATAATCACAGTAATAGTCACTCACCACGGTGGGATTTGCTTGTGCAAATATGTCTAATTAATAATCCATATAGCTTGCAAATACTTGGGAAATATAGTGAAATTAGAGCTGTGTGTAACGGAGGCCAGCCAGTAAGTGCTGTGCAGGTAAACCTCACTCCTCTGACCTCTAAAGGTCCTCTAGCGACAGACGCTAGAGGTCATGGTCTTTAATCTCTCGG